GGTATGATGAATATTTCACTTCTGTCAACCGAATTAATAGTTTACTAATATTTTTTTTATTTGGTCTCATAGGGTTTGGTTAATGCCGTTGCGAATATATTGCCAAGATGTGAACATCGCATGTGTGCGAGGCATATCTATGCCAATTGGAAGAAAACATACAAGGATATCGACTTGAAGAACCTATTTTGGAGTATTGCAAATAGCTGTTATAAAGGTGAATTCGACCGACATATGGAAGCCCTGGAACAATATAACCCTGCTGCATATGATGCACTTCTTGCCACTGAACCAAGACAATGGGCTAAGACATTTTTTAGAACAGATCCGCATTGCGAAGACATTTTGAACAATATATCGGAGAGTTTCAATATGTCTATAAGAGCCGCTCGACAACGCCCTTTGATTGATATGCTTGAAGCAATTCGGAGGCAGACAATGCAACGCATAGCAAAAAGGGCAATGGTGGTAAGTAGATGTAAGACTGATTTAACAACCTTTGCTATGAAAGAGCTGATCAAAAATCAAAACAAAACACAATTTTGCATTTCGATACCAAGTGGATATGGAAAATATGAAGTGGTTGATTCCGGGGTAAGTTATGCTTTGGATCTTTCTACAAGGAGATGTGTGTGTCGCAAATGGGAACAAACATATGAACGCAATATCAACCCGTTGAATGGGGAACCATTATGGGTTAAAACGCATAAAGAACCCATTGCTGTCCCTGGTAAACGAAAGATGCCCGGGAGACCGAAAAAGTTCAACAGAACCAAGGAAGCACACGAGAAAGATGGACATCTTTCACGTCATGGACGACGAATGACGTGTAGTCAATGCAAACAAGTGGGCCATAACATCAAAACATGTAAGAACGAACCTATTCAACACTTTGGTCCTTTCCGAGGTCGAGGACGACCACGAAAATTTAAAGAGCGTGGAGAATCAAGTTCCAGTGCACCACGACGACAAAGAAACTCGTCGGGTGAAGGTACATATCTCACTTTTGCTCTTATATATTTCTAGTCATACTAACAACTATATTTTTTGCAGGCTTATCGTTTCCAACTCAGTCAAGCCAAACTGTACAATCTGCACTCCCACATTTGGTTCCACGAAAAAGACCTCGTACACTCGGGATAACTTCGTCAGACAACATTTTACCATGGAGGACTTTCAACTTACCTCACACTGGAAGGGATTTTAGGGCACCTCGACAACAAGGACCTTCTCAGCACCACGACAAGTAGTATGGCGTTGGATCAAGTTGTGTTTCTATTTTGTGAAACCTAAATACTTATGTCAGATGAAATATTTTGTTAGACGTTTTAGACGAAGTACTTATGTCGGATCCAATCTTTTGTAAGACATTTTGGATGAAATATTTTGTAAGACATTTTAGACTAAGTATTTAAGACGTTTTGGGTCAAATCTTTTGTAAATTTTGGACCATATTATTTATAATATATTGTTGTCAGATGAAATAGCTATCGACAAATACAAATATAGTTCCAACAATTGCATAGATAGTTCAAATAACAAATACTAAGAGTTCATTACATAAACATAGTGCAAATAACAAATACATCGTTCATTACCATATGCCATAATTACAATAAACAAAACACAATCCAAACATATATTTGTCGTAATTACAAAACACAACCAAAACATACATATTTCATATGTATGTTTTGTAATACAGATAAGCCACAATTACAACTACAATCAAGATAACAAATATGCAAGCTTGATATTTGTATTCAACCATCTCTGTTTTAACCTTCTGTAACTCAGCTTTGTATGCTTCCATTTCTAAGAGGAGCTTTTGTATTTCGATGTCTTTTTTTTATCTTTGGCACCTCAACTTTGAGAACTTCCATATCCGAAATGATTTTCGGTATTTTGTTACACAAATCTTCGATTTCTTCGATTATAGTATCATCTACCCATTTGAAGATGTGCTTAAAGTTTTCCTACATTTGAACACGATACAAAAAATCATTTTACAATCCGAAATCCAAACAAGAACTAGTATTGAAGTCCAAACAAGAACAAATAAAATATCTCATTTTACCTCTTGTTTTGCACAAGTAAAAAACAACCTTCCTGGGTTGTGGGTTGTTTTTGAAATCCTTTTCAATATCTTATCTCCACATACACATTGATATACCACGACTCTGACTTGAATCCAAATATGAAACGGACTTTGAGTTTGAACTAACTTCACTACCATAAGCCATTTTCAACCTGTTTTCTTCCAATTAAATACAATTTTTATCCCCAAACAACACATTAAAAACGAGTTTCAGCATCCAGTTTCGCAAACAACATGTGAGAACACAATCGAAGATAAATTAACAGATACATTTACCTTTTTCAGTTGGAGAAGACCGTGTTTCGAAGCCCAAGTGAGATTAGAACCAATTTCACCGAGATTGCCTTCGAATGAGAGAAAAATCGTTGATCTAGGGCTCACAGAAGGTAAAAAAGAAGAAGAAGATTGGAATCGCACACACATTAGGGTTTTTTTTTATTTTATCTTTTTACCTTTTAAAATCCGGTTTGGTAATAAACCAATAATCAACCGGTCCGACCGATTTTACTTTTGGTTTATAAAACCGGATTTTAAAATTTAAATAAAATATGACGTGGCAACGTGATAATTAAATTGGTGACGTGGATGATGACGTGTGTTATCGGAAAGTTGCCACGGATGATATCGGGTGCCACGTCAGTGTTTGGGTATAAAAAAGACATGGTTTAAAAAGTTCGGGTTTTATTTGGCAAAAAACAGAGTTGAAGTTTTTTTTGGAAAATTTGAAAAGTCCAGGTTTTTTTTGAGATTTTCCCTATTTATTTTTACTTGCCATTTCGGTTTAGTGGCTGAAATTTCATATATCAACAATAGAAACAATTGTGTTATCATTAGATATATAATATTTGTTATAAATATTGCTGGCACCAATATTTGTTTAAAATCATGAAATTAGAAATTACAATACCTTGTTAAATATAAAACAAACAACTTGATTAAAAATATATAAAACTGAAAACATTTTAGTTTTTCAGACTTGTTTCAAAATAACTATCATTTTATTTTAAGAAAGCTAACTGTATTTTCTAAAAAAAATCCAACCTTATCGATGCCATATATAATAATCAATAACTATATAATAATCGACAATAGTCATTAAAACTTTTTCTATTAATCTAAAATATTTATCCCATAACAAATAATGTTTTGTAATAAATTTAAGGGTTCGTTTTCTAAAAGATAAATATTAATTTTCTATTCCATTGCACTAAATTCTTGAAACATTTTATAAATATATATATTTTCGGGCAACTTCGTCACTAAAAAACATTGTAATTAGATTATTTTTTAATAAAAAATGGTTATAGTTATTTTTTTTGTACAGGTTATGTTTAAATTTTGGGTTAATCCCATATTCCCCCATAAATTTTTGAAAAAATTCCAATTTCCTACACCAATTTTTAATTTAACAAAAAACTACATCGGATTTCAAATATTTCCAAATTCCCAAACAAAATCTTAAAATGTATTGCAATTTCCCCCATATCCGTAAACGACGTTAAGTTCTGTTAATTTTGATACTGACGTGGCGTGCCACGTCGTACAGATTTCGCCAAATCATCATATTTCGCCACATTATCCTGCCACGTCAGAAAATAAATAAAAATAAAAAAATAAAAAAAATTCTAGAATTTTTTTAAAAACTAATAAAATAAAATAAAAAATACAGAATTTCAAATTTTATTTTTTAAAAATAAAATAGAAAATTACATATACATATATACACACTTTTATATCTATACATAATTATATACATATACACATACACACATATATACATTTACATACATAATTATATACATATATATACACACTTATACATTTACATATATACACACTTTTACATATATACATAATTTTTTAAAAAAACTTTTAAAAAATTACAGAATTTTAAAATTTATTTTTTAAAAATAAAATAAAAAATTACATATACATATATACACACTTTTATATCTATACACAATTATATACATATACATATATACACATATATACATTGAATATGTATATGTATGTGAATATGTATGTATATATGTATAAATGTATATATATACATATTCATATGCATATATATACATATATACATTTATACATACATGCATACATACATACATATATACATATTCAATGCATATATGGATATATATGAATATGTATATATACATATATGAATATATATATATATATATATTATTTATGTGTATATATGTATATGTATATAATTATGTATGTATGTGTATATATATGTATATATATATATATGTATATGTATATAATTGTGTATAGATATAAAAGTGTGTATATATGTAATATGTAATTTTTTATTTTATTTTTAAAAAATAAAATTTGAAATTCTGTATTTTTTATTTTATATGTATATATATATATATGTATATGTATATAATTGTGTATAGATATAAAAGTGTGTATATATGTAATATGTAATTTTTTATTTTATTTTTAAAAAATAAAATTTGAAATTCTGTATTTTTTATTTTATTTTATTAGTTTTTAAAAAAAATTTGGAAATTTTTTATTTTTTTTTATTTTTTACTTATTTTCTGACGTGGCAGAATGATGTGGCGAAATGTGATGATTTGGCGAAATATGTATGACGTGGTATGCCACGTCAGTATCAACATTGACGGAACTTAACATCGTTTACGGATATGGAGGAAATTGCAATACATTTTAAGATTTTGTGTGGAAATATTTGAAATTCGGTATAGTTTTGTGTCAAGTTAAAAATTGGTGTAGGAAATTAGAACTTTTTCGAAAATTTGTGGGGAATATGGGATTATCCCTTTAATTTTTTTTAATTATTTTAAAATTTCTTCCTAAATTTAATTGTACTGGTTTTTTAGATGTGGATCTGAAAACCAATTTAGGATCCAACGGCCCATTTGACGTTTGCGTTTGCGTTTGATCCTCATTCCTCTTTCTGCCAATCCCTCGCTTGCTCTCTGAAATCGTCTCTCCTCAGGGAACAAAAACCTAATTCTGATTGAATTAGCATCGTGAAATTTTCCCGTTTCTCGCGTTTTTTGATTCTCTGAAACCCTAATGGATCAACCAGAAGAGGAAAGCAAAAGTACGAAGCAGGATGACGAGGTTAGAGTTGAACTGAGGATTGCGACGTTGTTTCCGAATGAAGTATGGTTTTTGGTTATTGTCTCAGGCTGTGATCCGCTGTAATCTCGGTTGTTGTGGTCTTGCAGGAAGCTCTTGCGCGTCAAGAGGAGATTAAGAAATCGATTGAAGCCAAAATGGCTCTTCGTCAGAGCAACTTGAACCCTGAAAGGCCTGGTTCGTTTTCTTCGCTATCGTTTGTTTTTTCTCGTAATTCTAGAGAAATTGTTTTTCTGCTTCTGGCTGGTTTTTGGTTACTCTGGTGCGAACGCATTGACCTAGACGAGATGAGGTTTTTAGGTGGAACTGACTATTTAGGGTTTAGCATTGATTTCTGTACGCTGTAATTTGAGCATGTGATGGGAGTGGCCTGCGTGTTACTGATATGGGTTCCTTGTCATTCCAGACTCGACGTTCCTTAGGACTCTAGATTCTAGCATCAAGCGAAACACAGCAGTAATCAAGAAATTAAAACAAATAAATGAAGAGCAGCGAGAAGGGCTGATGGATGAGCTGCGAGGTGTAAACCTCAGCAAATTCGTCAGCGAAGCGGTTGCAGCTATTTGTGAGGCGAAGCTCAGAAGTTCAGACATACAAGCAGCTGTTCAGGTTTGGCTTGTTGTTTCTTACTTCGCCTTCTCTATAACTATATTGCATCAGCATGGCCTGTGTTCTTATGGTCATTTTCTCCTCAATAAAGCTCTGACCCACTGTCCTACTTTCGTTTATTGGGAAATTCAAATGATCAAAGTCTTGTTATTCTTGTGAGCAACAACTTCACTTCTGAACTATTATCGTATATCGAGGGTTTAAACCATTCATTTCTTTGGTTAAACATCCTTGTACTTTCCTCTCTAAGTCTGTTTCTTTACTAAAAGAGTAATTCCAGTAAATTGAAGTCAATAGTTGGTTTATAACGTTTGCTGCCATGATACAGGCAGTTTAATTGTTTGTTTCCGTCATTATGTTCTGATTGCTTGGCTTGTGTTTTTCTTAAGTCAATCTATAATGCTAAAAGATTTATCATCCTTCCCCTTTAGTTTGTAATGGCTTTTGGTTTATGATTTTATTCATTAGGGCATAATGCAACATCAAAAACCATGTCTTTCTTGTCTGTATTTGTAAAGCCTTGTACCGTTTCTGATGTCCATGTTTATCAACAGGTATGCTCGTTACTTCATCAGAGGTATAAAGACTTTTCTCCTAGCCTAACACAGGGGCTTTTGAAAGTCTTCTTCCCTGGAAAATCTACGGATGATTTAGATGCAGACAAACACTCGAAGGCCATGAAAAAGCGCAGTACATTAAAACTCCTTCTGGAACTCTATTATGTGGGAGTTATAGAAGATGGTGGTATTTTCATCAATATTATCAAGGATCTTACTAGTGTTGAACACTTGAAAGACAGAGATACTACCCAGACGAATTTGACGCTTCTTGCTAGTTTTGCTCGTCAAGGTAGAGTCTTTCTGGGGCTTCCTGTTTCCGGGCAAGATGAAGAGGTAAGTGGTTTTCTACAATAGCTCTGGTTTTAACCTTTATCCTTTTCGAATTTTAATGGTTTTTATATCTGTTCTATCCTTTTGCTTAGTAAACATAAACATTATTGGCATATTATTGATCTGCTCCTGCTGTTCATGACTATTCTCCAAATTTGATATTTTTAGCTCAACTGATTGAGGTTTTCTACAGTTTTTAAAGGGCCTCGACATCACTGCAGACCAGAAAAAGATTTTGAGGAAAGCTTTCAACACATATTATGATGCTGCAGCAGAAACCCTTCAGTCTGAGCATAAAGTAAGATCTATATGTGTCTGCGCTCGTTGCTAGTTTCCAGGGACTGAATTTCGTATATTTCTTTTTTAATACTTCTTGTTTTTGTCATCACAAAGCTTGATTTATAGTTTTATACTTGCTTGAGAATAAAATATTGTTTTGGTTTCATTTTGATTTTGCATTTTTTCCTCTATCTATTTTATTTATTGGACTTTCATTTGACAGCTACTTCATCAAATGGAGCAAGAAAATGCTAAACTGCTGAATGCTAAAGGGGAACTTAGTGAAGAGAGTGTATCTTCTTATGAGAAGCTAAGGAAATCATTTGACCATCTGTATCGCAATATCTCATCGTAAGTTGCTTTCTCATATATGGATTTTCTTGGATAGTTAAGGACATTTTATGAGCATATCTAATACAAAACAATGTAATCTGATAGTGTGAGAATATGTGTCTGTGTTTATGTGTGGCATATCGATTACTGCATGCAACAAAATGCATTTAATTAAGGTTTATTCTGACTGGAAATGAATTTTGCTTGACGTTTTTCTGTTTTCCTCTCCCCATCCATCATTGGGATGAATGTAAGCTGCACGAGTAAATTAGTATTCACACATTCTGTTTAAGGTAATTGTGTTTATAGAATAAATCCATGCTGTTTCAGCATTCTCAGTAATGTCCTCCATATATATATACACGACGGGTAAGTGATTTTACTTTTACTTTGTCCTGTTGCAGGTTAGCCGAAGCGCTTGATATGCAACCCCCTGTTATGCCAGAGGATGGTACAACCAGGCTCACCACAGTGGAAGATGCCTCGTCTTCTGGTCCACCAAAAGATATCTCTGTCACTGAAGCCATATGGGATGATGAAGATACCAAGACATTCTATGAGTGCTTGCCTGATCTGAGGTTTGTTATTATTTATGGATTTAAAATGGAAAAGCATGGTGAAAGCTGAATTTTAGTATTCTTTTTCTCCTTCAGTACTGTTGAGTCAGATGCATTTTTTGTTAGGGCATTTGTTCCAGCTGTTCTCTTGGGAGAAGTCGAGCCTAAAGCAAATGAGCAATCTGCAAAGGCAAAAGATAAATCCCCTGTAAGTGGATAACATACTGCACTTTTCTTAGGCAATCGCATTCCCTAGGATATATGAAGGTACTTACTGTTTCTAGCATCCTGGAACATGTATAATTTTTGTTTCCAATAGACTTTGTGAGATGCACTTTCGCTTGACCATGACAGTTCAAATTTCAGAATCAGAATGGCAGAATTACCCCCTCTCAAACTATAATGCTGTATATTTGTTCATTGTTCAAACCACAAGTAATGGTGTTGAAATAATTAAATTTGATGTCTGATTGTGACCTTTTAAAGGAGTCTGGATCTGAAGCAGTTGAAAGTCAACTAGCTGCAAAAGAAACAGCAGATGTTCCAGTTGATTCTGATCACGTGGCTGATGGGTCAAATGCTGAGAAGTCGAAGGATAAGGGAGAAACCTCTAGTGAAAGGGCTACAGACACAGAGAATGAAAAAGGGAAAGAAAAGGATGGTGACAAGAAAGTAGAAAACGAGAAGGAGAAAGTTAAGAGCCTCGATGGTGCAAACTTGGATGCTTTGTTACAGAGACTTCCTGGTTGCGTTAGCCGTGATCTGATCGACCAGTTAACAGTAATAGTCCTTTTAATATTTTCCTATTTGATTTATTGTTGGTGCACCTGTTTCTCCCCTATTATTATTTACTTTTATGAGTATATTTTCAGGTAGAGTTTTGCTATTTGAATTCTAAGTCAAGCAGAAAAAAACTTGTGAGATCATTATTTAATGTCCCAAGGACATCTCTTGAGTTGCTACCGTACTATTCACGCATGGTTGCAACACTGGCTACTTGTATGAAGGACATCCCTACAATGCTTGTGCAGATGTTAGAGGACGAGTTCAACTCTCTGATCAATAAAAAGGTTGGCTGGCACAGTGTGCTATTCTGTTTGATGAAAACATCACTTTATCTTTTTGAGTATGAGTAAAGTCACTGCATTTTGTCATTGTGAATGAATTCATTGCTATCTTTCCAGCATCTTGCGTTCACAATTTATGTCTGATGGAATTCCTCATGCAATTATGCAGGATCAAATGAATATTGAAACAAAAATCCGGAACATCAGATTTATTGGAGAGCTCTGCAAGTTTAAAATTGCACCAGCTGGCCTTGTATTCAGTTGTTTGAAGGTATAACAACACATCATCACAAAATCCTTCAATAGAGAAATACCCTATCTTGGTTCTTTGGGCAGGTTTATAACTTCAGCTTGTATGTGTTTATCACAGACATAATCCATTTATCCTTGTCTGGGATTCTGATTTGAAAAAGATAAAATAGTATAGGCAAGATCAATCATTGGATGTGTTGTTTTTAAATGAGGAGCGAGCTGTTCAGCTCTATTGATATTCACTTTCACTATTTCTTTTTGCAGGCTTGTTTAGATGATTTTACTCATCATAACATCGATGTTGCTTGTAATCTTCTAGAGACATGCGGTCGTTTCCTTTATCGGTCTCCTGAAACCTCAATCAGGATGACTAACATGTTGGAGATATTGATGCGCCTGAAAAATGTAAAAAACTTAGATCCTCGTCAAAGCAACCTTGTGGAAAATGCTTACTACCTTTGTAAACCACCTGAAAGGTCAGCAAGGATTGCCAAAGTCCGGCCTCCACTGCATCAGGTACATACTAGGCTCCAAATTCAGAATCTGATGTGTTTCAAGTAATACTTTGCCGGTCTAGGGGTCCAATCTGTTGTTAATCTCGACTTTTATAATGTTTTTTTTTTTAATTCACTGCAGTATATTAGGAAATTGCTATTCTCAGATCTTGATAAGTCGACCATCGAGCATGTCCTGAGGCAACTTCGGAAGTTACCGTGGACTGAATGTGAGCAATACATCTTAAAGTGCTTTATGAAGGTTCACAAAGGAAAATATGGCCAGATTCACTTGATTGCTTCCTTGACTGCTGGTTTGAGTCGCTATCATGATGAGTTTGCAGTGGCTGTTGTTGATGAGGTCTGTTCCTGTCTATACATACCTTACACATGGAATTACATTTTTCATATGCCTGGATCTTTGCGATCTGTTAGTTTGGAAGCAACAAAGTACCTGAGTTTTTTCCTGGGAGTGAAATCCGGTCTTTATGTTTTTTTATCTGTTTCTTGCTTTGATTCCATGTTTTTACATGCCATTTAGTTCCTAATCCTTGAAGAAGTTTCATGATATATATTGCTGCACAATTGATTGCTTTTTGGGTTTGGGAGCATGACTAACATCTGACGCACTTAGCTGTAATCAGGTTTTCTGATGGGATTTAACTCAAGCTGAGGGATGAATTGAAAGATATGCAGCATCCTGTTTGCCTTTGTAGATTGAAAGTTTTTTTGAGAATGTTATGTGGTTATATATTGTTTTCAGGAGTGAAAAGATCACAGATCTTGAATTTGCTGCCCTTAGCAATGTAAATGAAAATTTCTGCCGATCTAAGTCCAAACAGTATCATTTTTCAGAATGTCAAATTCTAAGGTGAAGAAATGCGGAAAATAAACTGGTTGTTGAAAGGTGTAGTGTAATATAGAACTTAGAGAGAGCATTTGCCTTTGTGGATGTTGGTGGTGTATAAAACATGCTCAATGCGGATCTTCTCATAGTAAATATGGAATATACTTTGGTGAGGAATTCTCTTTATTGTGGTAAACATGGAGATGGAACGGTTTTGTTTACTTGCATATGTATATACACGTTTGCATCATAAGCAGTTTATCTGAGGAGGACTGTGTATGGAGATGATCTCTTATCATTAAGCTAGATGCTCGGTTCCCTTTGTTTGTTTGGCTACAGAAGATTACACACGTGATTTTGTCTCTTGAATGTTGGTCTACCGTGTGTAACTTTTACTTATATATGCTTTTGCTAGACCAATTCTATGTCACATTTCATCACCTTCAGTTGTTGAATATTTTTTCTGAGGTGACTTTTTTGACAATTTACCTCAAGGTCCTGGAGGAGATCAGGGTTGGACTTGAGTTAAATGATTATGGGGCGCAACAAAAGCGATTGGCCCATATGAGATTCTTAGGGGAGCTGTACAACTATGAGCATGTGGATTCATCGGTCATATTTGAGACGCTTTATGTAATCCTTGTATTCGGGCATGGTACTCCTGAGGTATGTTAATCTCTGACTTATCAGATTCCAATACTTAAAATATGTTCAAGTTTATGGATAAATTCTTTTTAGAATATATCAATTCTAAAGGCCTCGGCATTTATTTACTTTTATGAGTATATTTTCAGGTAGAGTTTTGCTATTTGAATTCTAAGTCAAGCAGAAAAAAACTTGTGAGATCATTATTTAATGTCCCAAGGACATCTCTTGAGTTGCTACCGTACTATTCACGCATGGTTGCAACACTGGCTACTTGTATGAAGGACATCCCTACAATGCTTGTGCAGATGTTAGAGGACGAGTTCAACTCTCTGATCAATAAAAAGGTTGGCTGGCACAGTGTGCTATTCTGTTTGATGAAAACATCACTTTATCTTTTTGAGTATGAGGCATCTCATTGTATGTTAAATTGGTATTTTTCCTTTTGTTGTAAAGCCAAAGAGGATCATGGGAACTGTGGAATAATATTGAATTCAGGACAGATGTACTCCAATTAAACATGGGACTGTTATTTGTGTGGTGTTACTCTGTTATTGTAATATAATATAATATGTTGAATGTATATTCATGTTCTTCCTCTGTTGATTGACTATAGCTATTCGTTTATGGTATTAGCACGAGGTGCTGGATCCACCAGAAGATTTTTTCCGCATCAGGATGGTTATTACCCTTCTTGAAACCTGTGGGCACTACTTTGATCGAGGATCTTCAAAGAAAAGGCTTGATCGGTTTTTGGTACATTTCCAGAGATACATACTAAGCAAGGGTCCTCTACCCCTCGATGTTGAATTTGATTTGCAGGTAAGTCTCTCTTATCTGTATATTCTGATTGCTGGACGGATAATTATATTTTTAGGTCTTGCTTTCCTATGAATAGGGTTGGACAGTATCGATCATAATCGATTAGATGTAGTTAAGCAAAACCATGCACCGTAATGTGGACTAACTGATATTTTCTTGAAGGTCCTTACTACATTTTTGTTTAAGGTTGAGGGCGTCTGTAAAATATTTTCTTTAACTGCTGGCTCATGCGGAACAATTTTCAGGATCTCTTTGCAATTCTGCGACCCAACATGATCCGATACATGACCATCGATGAGGTTAATGCAGCTATCCTGGAACTTGAAGAGCATGACCATGCTGCAACGGAAAAAACCAGTTTAGAGAAGAAGCATTCATATGCGGAGAAGGGTCCTGGTAGGCCATCTTCTAATGTTATCTCGGCTAATGGACAAAGCACTGCAAACGGTGCTACAGAAAATGGCGAAGCTCATGAAGACATGGGAAAAAGTGACAGCGATTCCAGTACTGGCTCCATGGGTGGAGATGGACGCAATGAGGAGTTAGATGAAGGGAATCATGATCGAGGATCTGAGACCGACAATGGTGACGACTACGATGATGGCGATGGACGTGCCACTGATGATGATGATGATGATGAATTCCGTGTCAGGCAGAAGATAGTCACTGTGGACCCCGAGGAACAAGCAGACTTTGACCAGGAACTCAAGGCTGTGTTGCAGGCAAGTTCAAATTAGGCGTCTTTCTCTGTAGATGATTTTTTCATTCCCTTAGTAATGCATCGGTGGCAAATTAATTAACTAATGATGAGACGGAAGATATTGATCAGTGGTAGAGAGGATTAGGCATCAGAATCTTTTATGGGAATTTAGAGAAAATCCCTAGTAAAGTTCTGTGAAAGTGATATATGAGTCGAAAGCTTTGGAATTCTTTTTCTCTTCTAAAGTTTGTTTATTTAGTATATATAACGATTAGTGAGATGGCCAATGATCCGAAAGTAGATATGCTCGTCCCTTTGAAGTAATGATATGTTTTTGGGTTCAGGAGAGCATGGAACAACGAAAACAGGAGTTACGTGGCCGACCAGCGTTGAACATGACGATACCGATGAACGTTTTTGAGGGATCGGGCAAGGATCATCATCTGGGAAGAGTTGGCGAGAGCGGTGACCAAGTGTCGGATGAGGAGAGCGGAGAGCAGAAGGATGTGCAAGTGAAGGTTCTCGTGAAGCGCGGAAACAAACAACAGATGAAACAGATGTTCATCCCGAGGGATAGTTCGCTGATACAGAGCACGAAACAGAAAGAAGCTGCGGAATTGGAAGAGAAACAAGACATCAAGAGGTTCGTATTAGAGTACAATGACAGGGACGAAGAGGAGGTTAACGGGTTAGGAACCCAGACGTTGAATTGGACGCTCGGTGGAAGTAGAGGCTCGGCTCGAGGAGGAGGTAACACGTGGGAAGGGAGCGGAAGGAGCGGTGGTTCGCGTCATCGGTATTATTATCACCAAGGAGGAGGAGGGTCGTACCACACCAGAAGAAAGTGACCGACCACATAGTTCAGCGGGAAGACGAGACAAAGAATCCTTCCCGAGACTGGTGAAGTTATATGAATCATGCTTTGGGAAATAATTACCCGGGCGACAAAGCAAGAGTCGTAAAACAATATAAAAGGTAGCGACTTTATGATGGGATTGGGAGCTTCCGTGGTTGTCGCCGAGGCTCATCATTGCTGGAAAGAATGGCAGAGGAGATCGATATCGACCTTTCGTGTTAGCCTTTTTGCGGTATGAATAGCTCGAGAGTTTATCGTCATCGTCTAGGGTTTGGTAGCGTGAAATGTTTATGCCTTGAACTTACAGTTGTGGGAGTTTTACGCAGTTCGTGTGAAATCAGAAAGTGTGGTTCTTATGCGTGTGTGTGGTTAAAGAGGCGTTTGCTGTGGAGATCATATACATATGCTTTAAGTTAAATAATAACATGTGTAATTAGAGGATATGTTTTGGTTTTAATTTGTTCTTAAGGTTGCTCTTGAATGATTTTTAAGGTTTGGAACCTGTTGTCGGAGTCGAACTGTTCAGATATCTGTGGAATGTTCTAAATGTTTCGACCGACGAGGATGACGTCAAAGGTGGGACGAGATATCCGGAAAACGAATCTGATAACGGGATTTGAAGGCTGGATTTGGTTTTTACTTTGTTGAATTCGAACTCAGTATTCCGTTTGTGAGGATAGATTTCTGAAGTTCGATTTTTTTTTTAACAATAGTCATTTGGCAATAACTTCTTTTTATTTTGGTCATTTTAGTTGAAAGGGCTGAATTTTAACCGTAGGATTAGGGATGTCAAAATGCGAGCCGGTTCCACTCGAGTCCGACACAAGTTCAAATATTTACGGGTCGTATCGGCTCGGCCCAAAACATGATCGGGTCTAAAATTTTCGGCTCAATACCCGGTTCTATTGGCCTTTTTTCAGTTCGTGTCTGATTTCGAACTTGAATATAAAAAAATATAAAATATAAATTATAAAATAAGTTAAGATAATTAAAATATAAAAGCTTCCATACATTTTGTGATAATAAAAAAGATAAAAATCCGTAATAAAATTATTATATATTTTGATATTATAAAATATAAAATTCGAATTCTTTAATCTTATATGGTAATATTTTTTTTAAAATATTAAATTATTATATTTTTAAATGAGAATAAATATTTGAAACTAATGATAATATAATTTTGAATATTATTTTAAAAATATTACATCCTAAATTATTTAGTATTAAACAAGTTTTTAGTTTTTTTTAATAATTTTCTATATTATATAATTGTTTATATTTTTTTCTTATACATGTATATTACATATATATATATAAAAGACTGAATAAATATGTACATATATGCATATGTATTTGTCTATATATAATTTAAATTTTAATCGGGTCGGTCTGACTCGAACCCGTTTTTGACCCATATTTTTCGGACCGGACTGATCCGGATCGATATACGAATGGGCTTTGATTTTTGTAGTCTAAGCCCAAAAATTTTATGAACGAGTTTGGGTTGGGTATCGGGCTTTTTTGACACTGCTAAGTTGATATAGGGATTATAAATATCATAAGATGATTATAATCGGTTCTCCAATCGAGATAATTTATTTTACAAAATAAAAACAAGCAGCAAAAAAATGGTTTAAGAACAAGTAAATATAAGCGATTATTGGAACGGCCACGGCTTAGTGGTTGAAATAAAGATTAATAATGTTGATTTATGTTAATAAAAAACAATATACTCTCTCTAAATTATCTTTCTTTACGCATAAAATAATATGTCTAAAAGCAATGCTTAGCGATTCGTCCTCTCTCGTTTTTTTGATGCAACTGCAACCTAATTGATTCTTGGGAGAAGAGGAGGCTAAGATGGACCTTTGGTTCGATTCCATTCCAAAATTTTTGAACGGTATTAATTTTAGAAAAAATTGAATTTTCTAGAATTAAATCGAATCAAATCGAATTTTAAAAAATCTGAAAAATCGTATTTTTTTTTTAAATAAAAATTGAAACCGAAATCGAACTGTAATGAATGTAATATAATAACCGATTGATACCTGTTCTTGTCGAAAGAACTGAAGGAAACCATTTCCTATTCGAATCCGAACCGAATATCGAAATGTCGACTTAACGGAGACATTACTATGACCCACAAATTTGCTCGGTCAAATCCAAAACATGCCGAAATTATGTCTTTTAATTCGATATGCATATATAAAATCACAAAACTGAAATATATATAAAGAAGAGATCTTTTAAAACATGTATACTTAAAAAATTATAATTGATATATGTATTTTTTTAATCTTTTATCTGTTTCGTTATTTGTTTTTATCTTTCTTTTTTCTCTGTCTATGAGTGATTTGACCATTAGGCGATTTTCACATTACAGCTACTGCATTATTTTGCAGATCACAAATCAACGTTAAGTTGTTCACACATGGAGACAGAACTGTACTCTTTAACTGAAAACACCAAACCCGTTATGAGTTCTGCCTGTTCATGCTCCAATGGATGATCAGCCTCCATGTCCAGAGGATCTCTTCTCGACAAGCAGAGGTCTGTAACACAAAAGGATCTTATCATATGGATAATTTTGATGCCAAGAACAATTTCCACAGCGTGAATCTGCATCTATACATACCATGTAAGTGTTTGCTTCGGCATATCGGCATCACCCTTTTCCCCGTCCTCACCCGTCGGGACACGGATGCCTATGCTGTTTACACACGATGCGCTCAATCACCATGGCAGAACTGCAACATCCAAACCGTGGTGGCGTTAAGAGACAAACAAAGCATCTTGCTTAAGCGGTACCGTAAAAAGAAATATCGAAAAGTTTCGAGGGAACGTTACCGATAAAACAAGGGTCCCCATTTTGTAGTTCTCGCAGAATTCTGAGACCTGACTTGCCTTGCGTATGGAATTAGCAGAACAGTATTGAGTTCCCCTTTCTCGTATGAGCCCTCCGAAATTTCAAGCAAGTGAAACTATACGAGCACGAGAAACGGACAGCACATACCTCGCGCAGTCCGGACTATATATTTCCAGTAGCGGAATGAGAATTTAACCCACCGAGTTTCTTGCCAAAGAGAATATCATATGTACAGCCATCAGGCGTAAGACCCTTATCAAGCATCTCATCATGAAGTGCGAAAGCCTTTGCCAGATTTCCTTCCCTGAAATATTCCGCGATCAGGGCAGTATATATAAGAATGTTCGGAGTCATATCCTTCTTCCCCATCTCTTCGAAACTTTTACGTGCTTTCTCCAGCTGCCCTTTCTTACAGAGACCAGTGACAAGTGCAGTAGACATGACTTCATCAGGTTGAATACCCTCTTCAAGCATTTTCGAGTACAAATCTGAAGCAACATCCAACTTTCTCTCCTTCAAACACCCATCGATCAGTGTTGTATACATTGGAAGATCACAACGTATACCGTCACTCGTCATTTTCTTGTACAAATCAAGCGCTGCATCCATATTTCCAAGATTACGGTATCCCGAAATCAAGCTATTGTAAATAGCCACTGATGGATATAACCCTAATTCGAGGAGCTCAGAGAACAGAGCAGACGCATTTTCCATGTCATGTTTTTTCACAAAACCGTCTATTAGAGCACCATAGACCGGAATGTCTGGTTTGATACCCTTGTCTTTCATTTCATTCCTCAATTTCAGCACAAGATCTGTCTTATTAGATTTGAAACACCCATGGATCAAGCTTGTATAGGTTACAACAGTGGGGGAAACTCCATTGACACACATCTCCCTGTAAGTAGCAATCGCGGAATCAAGCTTGCCTCCTTTGACAAACCCATCTATGATACTGTTGTAAGTCATGACACTCGGGCCAAAACCCATTTCACCGATAAACTTTCTCAATGCATCTCTTGCATTAGATGTCCTACCGGCTTTGCACAAACCGTTGATAAAACTGTTGTACACAAACTCATTGGGAGTGACATTAGAAGAATCTATCAGATTCAAGACATCAATAGCCTTCTGTATATCACCGTTCTTGGAATATCCGTCAATCAAAATGGAATAAGTGAAGTTATTCGGCTTTATACCCTTCTCCAGCATCTTTTCGAAAACAACACGGGCTTCCTCCATGTTTTTCGCTTTGAAATGGGCAAGCATCATATTGTTGTAAGAAACAACATTAGGTTCAATACCTTTACTCTCCATCATACTTACTAACTTCATAGCTTCATCTATCTTACCTTGCTTGCAAAACCATGACAAAATACTGTTACAGATGAAAGTATTTGCAACACCAGCTTCAACAGATTCATCAAACATTTTCAGTGCCTTTTCCGGAGTTCGAGATATCAAATACCCCTGAATCATTGAGTTGACATGAAAGACGGAAAGAGGAACACCTAAGATTTTCATTTCATCGTATAGCTCAACGGCTTTTTCCATATCCCCATTCCTAGTGCACCATTCTATCAATACCGAGAAAGTAAACTCGTTCGGGGACGGTCCCTTCTCCTTCATCTCGTTAAACAAATCAAAAGCCCTAACCATGTCGCCCTTTTCACAGTGCCCTTTAACCAGACTCGTCACAGCAATTACATTCATCGGTATCCCACAACTCACCATCTCGTCCTTCAACCTCAAGGCCTCCACCATGTTTCTCCCCCTCATGGAAGCCATTATCGCATTGGTATACGTTTCCTGTGACGGCAAAAACGCTTTCTCTCTCATCTCTGTCAACAAACCAAAAGCCATGCTCAAATTCGACATCTTGCACGCTGCCTGAATAGCAAGATTATACATTGATCCATCAGGCCCGGCTCCTCTATTCTTAGCATCATTGAAAATCTCCACAGCCTCTTCAGGCTTTCCTTTTCTCAAGCTCGCTCGCATGAACAACTGGATCGTAAAGCAATCACCCGTAACACCTACGACAACCATCTGACTATACAGTCTTCGAGCATCATCCATGGAATTCCTTCTAACCAAAGCACTAAGAAGACTGTTCATAGACTTAACGAAAGGGATCATATTTCGCTCTATCATTAGATTGAAGCAATCTACGGCATCATCCACACGCCCACATCGGATATAACCATTCAGTAAGTAATCAAAAGCTCGCAAATTTAGCTCAAACCCAAACTTTTCAGCGCAATCCATCATGTCTTTAACTGCTACGCTCGGCTTTCGCGTTGGACACTTGGAAACGTACCGTATGAGCAAATTTCTGGCGGGACGGAACGTCTCGCGGGAACCAACAAGAACATGGATCAGTACCCAGAACACGTCGCCGCCTTCGTCGAACCCACACCTCGGCTTGGACCAATTGTAGTACCGACGAGCCGTTGGTGCGTCGTTCTTGTAACCCAGAAGCGCGTCGATCACACGCGCCTCGTTCATTTCGTCGCCTCCGTGTTTGGCGCTGAAGAGGTAAGGTACATGGTCCAATGACGCGGAGTCTAATGTTTGTTTAGGACAAGCGGGTCCGTGGATGGGTTTCCCGGCGGAGCCTGGGTTCGGCATGATTTTCCCGGTAGAATCAGCGTCGGGAATTGGATCATCGGGTGCATTGGGAAGTCGAGAATGTGAACAAAAGGGTTTAGGGTTTATCAAACAACGAAGAAGATTAGGTGGAGAGATTCGTTTGGGAGCAAAGGAAGATCTCATTTTCCTCATCAATGGTCTTGAAACGACGAAGAAGATTTAGGTGGTGTAATTCGTTTGGGAGAGACGAGGCTTAAACCCTACTTCGTTCAGAGTAATTGAACGATGTCGTTTTCAGTTTCCCATGGGTAAGAAAAAAAAATGAAAATTTAAGAAAAAAAGTTTAAATCGGCTTCATTCTCCGACAGGCGACAGCCAGTGAAAAGAAAACGATGTCGAGTTGCAGGTTACTCTTCCACAACGGCGTCGTTTTACCCTCCGGCGATGTTCCTCCGGTCTCAACCTTCCTCCAATCTCACTCGGGTACGTCTCTGTTCTTCCTAGAAGACCGAAAAATAGGACCTTTTTACGTGATTTTACTGGGTTATTCCTCTGGGTTCTCGGCGGATTGCGGCTATGTTTGATCTCATCTCTGTAATTTTCGGTTCATTTCTACAGCATGATTTGCTTTCGAGCGGGGATTCAGTATAAATTTTGAGAAATTTATTGATTTGGAGCATTTGCAGGCGCGTACACTACGACAAGAACGATCAACAACGGAAAAAGCTTGTTGTTATGGGAGAGACATTTGAGTAGACTCTCTGGCTCCATTCGTATCCTGTTGAACTCAAAGCCTGAGTTTCTGTTTGGTCCTGGGCATTTGCCATTTCCGATTATTCAACCAGTTCCTGAATTGAGTATCAGTAGCCTCGTCAATGGATCTATGAGCAATGCCCTGAAGTTTGTGCAGCACGAACGTGGACGAAATGATGGAGAGGAAATAGCCGTGACGGTTCTTGTAAGTGGTGATATGGAGAAGCTGAATAGGATAAATGGTGAGAATGGTGATCTAGAGAGGAGAGTTATGGAGTTTCTTGACGTATGGTTGCATATCGGGTCGTACTGTCCTAGCCCCTTTGGTGTTCGTGAAAACGCCGCAAATTTGGCGTTAGCCGGTCGTGGTCGGGATGCTGCCTCTGCTAAATACTCGGACTGGGTAAGGTTAGTATTGTATGCTCATTTGCTCGATCATATAAAAAGATTGGATTCTTTTTTTTTGTTAAAAGGTTGTTAAAAGGTTGGATTCTTGCCTTGTTCACATATGAATGTTGGTATCTGTAAACTGAATTCTTGACGGATCAGTTGCTCATGCCTTTGTGAAAATCAAAATGGGTTATTGTAATCGTTATGGCACTGTCATGTTTGTAGATTTTGAGAGCTGTTTCTTTCTTAGTTTCGGTCTGATTTTGACTTAGGCAGGCTAAGGAAGCCTTTGGAGAAGCTGAGACCTGTTTCGGCAACCGAGCTCCTTTTGTCCAACAATGGTGATCATTTGCTGGAGGGCTGCATCACTAACTTCTTCGTTGTTTGCCACAAGGTGGGAAGAAATTTTCACTCTTCTTTATTTGTTCCATCACTCTTCTTTCTGTGTTCATTTCTGTATCTAGCATAAATCAGACGAAAAGGAATTGCTATTAGAACGTCGAATCAGAAGATTCAGAACAGGTTTTTCACAAATCTGTATTTATAGATTTCTACACTGAGGCCGGCCTTGGACGCTTTTTTCCGGTTCTCTTTTTTTTCAGAAACAGCCCGGGAAAATCTCTGGTGGGAGTTTTTGTCAGTTTGAAGTGCAGACAGCTCCTATCTCTGATGGTGTGCTTCCTGGTGTAATAAGGGAGCTTGTGATTGAGTAAGGGACTTCGAATGTGACAAATTTCGAATTTTGTTTGATTATATTATCATCTGTTTAAAGGCTTGATCCGAACATATATATATATATATATATTTTGTTTTCTTGGTTTAATGGTTTCAGAGTGTGCTTAAGCATTGGAATTCCATTACGCGAAATATCGCCTTCGTGGTCTGAGCATGAACTTTGGGAAGAAGCCTTCATCACAAGTAGATTCTCAAAATCTTTCTACTTTCCATCCTCAATCATCTCATTACATATACCCAAAATATGGGTACCTGAAATATACCCGAAATCCGTCTATTGAAAAAGATAATCTGTACTGGTAAGAACGACCTCAAAGTTGAAAGCTTTTGTTGCAGCTGGCTGGGGTTAGTTTTAGGACTTCATTGTAGGGCCATGGGGAAAAAACCCCGAAATATGGGTACCCGAACACTATATGATTATAAGATGAGATCGGGTTATAGCGTGAGGAAAACCCGAAAATCAGGTCGAGTTCGAGGTTCGGATATTGTCTATCGATATCCGGCTGCATAGTAAAATGACTTTTTATCCCCTAGATTTTAAAGATACCCGACCTATGTTCATTGTACTTGTAGTACAGTTAAGCAAGTCACAGTTTTCGGATTTTTTTCCTTACCAAACTAAGATCTTCATGTTACAACCATTGTCGGATCCAGGTAGTCTAAGAGTTGTGCAGCATGTTGAGATCATCAAAGTACCGATAACTTCATGGGAATCGTTTCCTTCGGAAAAACCCGAGGAAGTTGAATGGAAGGAGAAAAGGTTTCGAGATGGACCCGGAATGATCACTGAACTGATCCAGGTAACTTGTTACACTGTTCTCTCGATCTCAACCTTCGACTAGTTCAGTTTGGTTTCGAGTTAAGACATCGGATCCATCTAAAGGCGTAAACTTTGTCTGTCTCTTCTATGAAAATGAATCAAAGTTCGAGTTTTTGTTGAACTGACCAGTGTCACTGGAACTTTTTTTTGGAGCAGAAGGAGATAATGAGGAGAGGAAACAGAGAAGGTTACCCATTGAGCTACTTCTAAGGAACCCCCTTTTGCCAAAACCTAATAATCTTCATATTTTACTTCAAAGATTGGATTTTTATTTGGTTATGTTTTTTTTTTGTTCGTACCCAATAGGCAATAGTGAATTGCTTCTTTAGCTTTCTTGTGTAATTTCATAAATAAATCTCTCAGATCTGAGATTCTCATTCATATATATATAATATGCTCATTTAGAAAAATACCAATAGAGTACAGTTTTGCATCTATATGTGTATGTGTATTGATTATTGATTGATATGCTAATTTAGAAAAGGGAAATTCCCAAAAAAATCATCTAATTATGAGATAACTATCACATTCATCACGAACTTTTAAAATTTCCAAATTCATACTGAATTTGAAATTTTTCTCTAAAAAATCATTCAAAATTTAAATTTTAACAAAATCCTCATCGGACCAGAATTAATTTTGCCACGTAGGCAGAAAGCGCCTACATGGCACCTACGTGGCATGTACGTGTTTGCCATATAGGATACATATGACATTAATAATAAAAAATTAAAACAAAATTGGAAAAAATGTAAAACAAATTATAAAAAATGTGAAAAATTACAAAAAAATGTAAAAATTGTAAAAAATATAAAATTGTAAAACATTTTCAAAAAATATAAAAATTATAAAAACTGTAAAAAATTGTAAAAAAATGCAAATTATAAAAATTGTAAAAATTGTAAAAAAAATGTAAAATTGTAAAAAAATGTAAAACATTTTCATAAAATGTAAAAAATTGTAAAAAAAAATTGTAAAAAATTATAAATTTTTAATTTGGTTTTTAAAAAAGGGAAATTTCCAAAAAACAATCATTCAATTACGAGATAAAAATTTGTTTTTACAATTTTACATTTTTTACATTTTTTACAATTTTTACATTTTTTTTGTAATTTTTTTCACATTTTTTTATATTTTTTTATATTTTTCTAATTTTTTTAATTTTTTATTATTAACACCACGTATATCCTACGTGGCGAATACGTACATGCCACATAGGCGCCATGTAGACGCTTTCTGCATATGTGGCAAAATTAATTCTGTCCCGATTTTTTGATAAAATTTAAATTTCGAATGATTTTTTAGAAAAAAAATTCAAATTCAGTATGAATTTGGAAATTTTAAAAGTTCGTGATGAATGTGATAGTTATCTAATAATTGCATGATTTTTTTGGGAATTTTCTTTAGAAAAATATGAACACAGTCTGCACGTCTCCCATTTCGCTCACACTTCCACTGCATGACTCTCCCACGACCGCTATTACTAAGTCAACGGTGATTCGTGATTGCCACGTGTCAACTTCCCATTCGATGGAGTTTTGCCTCCAACAAATCGTCTACGACCACGTGGCTTTCATCTTCAATACTTCCTGAAATCCTTGTAATATAGAAAAGCCCCGACATCTTTGCATTTGTGATCCGCTATCAATGGCGTCGACGACGACGAGCATCTTCCTCGCTCTCTTCCTCTCCGCTCTTCTTCTCCTCACTTCACCGTCTCCTTCACTCGCCGGTGAAGCGGATCTCGACGAAGACGTCGCTTTCCTCGCGAGCGAGGAGGCCAAGGACCGTGCCCATGTCCCCTACGGAGACGACCAAGACCAGTTCCATTACCAGGACTTCGAGAACTACGAGGATCTCGAAGCCGGAGATGGAGAAGGCGGACACGATCATGGAGGCGCGTACGAGGAGGAGCCGCAGTTTCCGGCGGTGGACGACAAGGATGTGGTGGTGTTGACGAAGGAGAATTTCACGGGGTTTGTCGGGAACAACAGCTTCGTGATGGTGGAGTTCTACGCGCCGTGGTGTGGCCACTGCCAGGCCCTGGCGCCGGAATATGCGGCGGCGGCGACGGAGCTGAAGGGCGTGGCGGCGCTCGCGAAGGTCGACGCGACGGAGGAAAGCGAGCTCGCGCAGAAATATGAGGTTCAGGGGTTTCCGACAGTGTTCCTGTTTGTGGATGGACAGATGGAGAAGACATACGACGGAGAAAGGACCAAGTAAGGGGATTGGATTTTGAGTTTGATGCTTTGTCTGACCTATTTCTGGATCTATTTGTTGGAACAAGAGATTGGTTGGTTTAGGATTTTCAGTCTGGGATTTGTCTGGAGGAAAAATTCCGAGGCTTTTTGGTCTGAATGATTTTGGTAGAGCAAATGATTAGACTTGTCATCATAGCAAGCATATTGGGTATGCTTCAAAGAGATCTCTGTTTGATAGGAAGATAGAGCTTGTCGTCTGCGGCATTATTGAGATTAGAGAGCTATGCATTGACTTGAGATTTATGGGAGATTTTGTGGATCTTAGGGCAAATTGACAAAGACTGCATCTCCATTTAGCGAAAAACTCTTACAGAAAAACTCTTACAGATTTGGAGTACAGGAAGAAGAATTATACTTGATAAAGTACTTATCTACCATGAATTCCAAGTTTGGCTTTGTGTCTTTGTTAGATACCTGATGATGTATTGTGTGGTTGGATCTATCTTTAGCTGAGTTCTGTTTAGATATTTGTATCGATTCATTCCGCCTGCAATGTCCAATTGGATAAAGCTGTTTGGTCGCAGAGATGCAATCGTGATGTGGGTGAAGAAGAAGACTGGTCCAAGCATCCAAAACATTACTACAACAGAAGAGGCAGAACGTGTCTTGTCTGCTGAACGTAAAGTTGTTCTGGGTTTCCTCAACTCCTTAGTGGTACTCATTCTTCTAACTCTGAAATGTTTTTTTTTGCTTGTTCTTTTAATCATCTGATTCAGGTTGATTGTTTTTCTCTAAAGAACTGGAAAAATCATAGTATGTACTTGATGATGATTCCGGGGCTTGCTGCAGGGTTATGTTTTGTTGGAAAGTCTGAAGCTTTTAGACCGACACGATTGTTGCTTCTGAAAATACATTGTTCTGCCCTTTTTATCTTTTCAGGGTTCAGAAAGTGAAGAGCTTGCAGCTGCTTCCAGGTTAGACGACGATGTTAGCTTTTACCAAACCGCGAGTCCTGATGTTGCAAAGCTATTTGAAATTGTGTCCGAAGCTAAGCGTCCTGCCTTGGTTATTTTGAAAAAGGAGGATGAGAAACTCGCCCGTTTCGGTTAGAATCCACAAGACCTCATTTTCCTTTCCCCAATTCCGATTCCTTCTACATGACCGTTCTTCGTAACGATGATCTATGTGATTGTGGCGTTGTTCTCTTTATTCCAGATGGAAATTTCACCAAGGCAGATATAGCTGGGTTTGTGTCAGCCAACAAAGCTCCCTTGGTGATCAATTTCACTAGGGAAAGTGCATCGCTTATTTTCGAAAACCCAATAAAGAACCAAGTAAAAAGTCTTCCCTCTGCTGATATTTTTCTCGTTCTTTGTTATTGATGTCGAGGACATTCTATTCTACTTTCTCCCGTGTTGATTTCTGTTGTTTCTTTGTCAGCTTATCCTTTTTGCTACTGCCAATGAAACCGAGAAGCACCTTTCCAGTTTCAGGGAGGTGGCTAAGGCCCTTAAGGGAAAGGTAGTATTTTCCTTCTGTTTCTGCTGACAATTTACATCTCTGATTCTCTGCATGCAATTAGAGAAATAAATGCCCCGCGAAATAATGGGTCGTGATCAATTTCCATTAAGGAATCGGGCGATAGATTTAATTCATCTAGTCTAAGATATTGTGTCGTCTTTGTTACAGTTTGTCTTTGTTTATGTGCAAATGGACAACGAGGATTATGGACAAGCAGTTTCTGATTTCTTTGGTGTTACTGGATCCAACCCGAAAGTAAGTTTTTATTGATGAGTCCTTGTTTCGCGTTTTTTTCCCTTTCTGTTTTCCATCCGAGAAAATAAAGCAAAATCCTGATGACTGGATGTATAGGTGATTGTATACACCGGAAATGAAGATATGAGGAAGTTTCTTCTGGATGGTGAATTGACCCTTGAGAACATTAAGGTTGGACCCAATTTCAATACATTGCTATATGTTTCATAAAAGCCTTTAAAGCAACTTGTTAATGTGTTTCTTATGTATTTTGTCAACAGACATTTGGGGAAGATTTCTTGGCAGACAAACTTAAGCCATTCTACAAGTCGGATCCGATACCCGAGAAAGTAAGCAATCCGAAAACTATGCTTATCCATAAAAGCCAACCTGTTGTAACCTTAATGGTTGTACTGATCCGTTTGTTTCTGAATCGAGAACAGAATGACGATGACGTTAAGATCGTTGTTGGCAACAACTTTGATGAGATCGTTCTTGACGAGTCAAAGGATGTCCTTCTCGAGGTAATCTTTTTCCCATTCTAACAAATGCCCTTGACTGAACATCTACTCCTAGTTATATCGAGTTATACCTACAAATTTCGGGGTTTCGCAGATATACGCTCCCTGGTGTGGCCATTGCCAAGCATTTGAGCCGACTTACAACAAGCTTGGGAAGTATCTTAAGGGCATCGAGACAATTGTCATAGCCAAGATGGATGGTACAACGAATGAGCATCCTAGAGCTAAGGTACTGATTCGATTCAAAGACATTCAGGTAGAAAAATGTTACAGAACTGACAACCATTGAATGCCCTAATCGTCTTTTTGGTTCGGCTCTTCGCTTACTCAGGCTGATGGCTATCCGACAATCCTTTTCTTCCCTGCTGGAAACAAGAGCTTCGACCCGGTGAGAGCTGATGAACTCTGTCTTTTCTCCTTGTCTTTCGTCTTTGTTCCTTCCTCATATCGTTTCGTTGCCACAGGTTTTGAAACAGGAACTGGGTCATGTTTCTTCTGAGTACTGATTCGTTGTTGTTTTTCCGACAGATCACAGTGGAAACCGACAGGACTGTGGTAGAAATATACAAGTTCCTGAAGAAACATGCTTCGATCCCTTTTAAACTCCAGAAACCGGCCTCCTCTGCTAAACCGCCAGCTCCTGAACCGGTCGCCGGTTCGAAAGGAGAAGCAACGGTAACAGATGATGCCGGGAAAGGTGGTGGCAAGGATGAGTTGTGATGATACTGAGAAGAAAACCTTAGTTTCAGACAAAATAGATAACCGCCTTTGAGGGGATTTTTGTTGTAACTTTAAAATGGCTTGTATGCTTTGATTTGGATTTAAAACAAAATAAAATCTGAAGTTTTCTCGGCTCCAATATTATCGGATGGATCTAATTGGTTATTAAATTTGAACTGTAGCATTCAGTTTGTGTAAATTTTGTGACCAATAACTGCAATCAGAAACTATATTTTAAACAAACTCCATACACTGTAATTAGAAATTGTTTTCACTTTGCTGCGAAAATAATAATTTTATTTTAAAATTGGTCCAAAGTCCATTTTGTTCAATTTAAAGGAAGATATATTGTAGTTTCCTTCTATCCGTTTCTTCTTCTTCTGCGCAATGTAGCATCAAGACAGAGTTTGAAGAAGCTGTGATATCAAACTGTGAAATTCGCTCCCATGAATATGATCTATTGCTACATATACAAATGATCATTATATATTCTAACTAATCCAAGATTGAAAATATGATACTCTCATAGTTAAGGATTAGCATGGAACCCGAAATTTCGAATATCCGTTCCCATATCTTAAATTTGGAAAATCAGAATTTTCGTGTTCGGATTCCGGATTTCGGGTAGTGAGCACCTTGTGGAATCCGTCGTATTCCGCATTAGATGCTCCACCATTCGTATGAAATGGATACGGGACAATAAAAATACTGAAAACCTACAGAATATTCCAGACTCCAGCAGCAGTGATACGAAATCGGACAAGAGTATAGAAGACGAGACATGAGAGACCAAGAAGCAAAGAATATTGTCTGCAGACTCCATTTATTTAGACCATTCGGCTTTTATGACGTCCTGACATTAAGAGTTCCAAGTCACGACGGTGTCTGGAAAAAAAATGAACGTTTAACTAACAAAAATGTCATTTCTAATTGTGTTTATTGTCGGGATTTTTAGAGTAAATGAATGCGAATTTAGAATCTCTCAAAATGATTCATGTTTCACGTGTATTAAGAATATGAGGGAGGAGTTAAATGCTTGTAAAAGACGTGTCATGAATTGGCTAAGTTGTTAAGGATTTGTCGGAAAAGTTTACGTTCGGTTTTGAACGTGAAAGGTGATCTAAAAAAATGGGAGGGTAGCTCAAAAACATGGGTGGACAGCCTGTTTTTTCTTAGGAATAAAGCCCAGAAATAAATGGGCGGTAGCTCGAAAAAACGGGAGGACAGCCCGTTTTTTCTGAACAGTTTGAGAATAAACGGGCGGGTAGCTCGAAAAAACGGGCGGGCAGCCCGTTTTCTCTGAGCAGTTCGGAAATAACGGAAAATCGCGATCGTTCGGAAAAAACTTCCGATTTCTTCATACCTTTCGACATTTGGAGTGTTTATAAACACCTCTAGACATCCTAACACGAAATAGAACAGATCTAATTCGTTTTTTGAGAGATTTGAGAGCGCTTTTGTGATTGTTCTTGCAAAACACTCACAAAAGCTTTTTGTTCATCTTCTTCTTGCGATTTCTTGTGTTTGTGTTCTTAGTAGAGCAAACTAAGATCATTTCTCTCTTCATTGTATCTCAAAAACGTATTCCGGGAAGTCCTTTGCTCGTATAGGACGGAATAACGTTTTTAGGAAAGTGTATTACGCCTTGAAGAGTTATCCGGTTCCCAATTTACTTTTCTTGTTCATTTTATATCCCACATTTATAACAATCTAAAAATGTTATCCACTCAAGGATGACTACTTCTGTGAGAGATCTTACCATAGACTTTCACAAACTTGACAAGTTCGAGGGCGTGGGATTTCGAAGGTGGCAGAAGAAGATACATTTCCTCCATACGACGATGAACGTCGTCTACGTGATAAGCACTCCTAGACCGGAAGAAACCGAAGAGGAGACATTGGTTGCGGCTCGCGTGCGGAACAAATGGGACAACGATAATTACGTGTGTTGCGGCCACATCCTTAACGGTATGTCCGATGAACTTTTTGATGTTTATCAACACATAGATACCGCCAAAGCCCTGTGGGATTCGCTGGAGGCTAAATACGTCTCTGACAATGCCTCTAGTAAGAGATTTCTTGTAAGTAGTTTTAACTCTTACAAGATGGTGGACTCGAGACCAACTATGGATCAATTCCATGAAATACAAAGGATATTGAGTCAATTCACACAACAAAAACTGCAGATGGATGAAACCATCAAAGTTTGATCCATTGTTGACAAACTTTCATCGATTTGGAAGGATGTCAAGCATTCCCTGAAACACAAAAAAGAGGATATGTCTCTTGAACAGTTGGGAACACATCTTCGCATTGAGGAGGATCTCCGGGTGCAAGATGGGAAAAGCGCTTCTCCTCCTACTACAGTGAATGTTGTAGAGGATGAGAAACGTGGAGTCAAAAGACAAGGAAAGAAGCCCTCTAAGGATAATCCTAAGAAGAAGTCAAAGTCGAGCGCGACATGTTGGTTTTGTAATAAAACGGGACACTTCAAACGGGATTGCTACTCGTGGAAGAATAAACACGAGAAGAAGAGTGTCCATGGTCAAGGAAACAAAGCCCTTGACCAATCCTTGACCAATCCACTCAAGGTAACAATAATTGTTACTTGACGAATTCGGATATGAATTTCGTTACTATGATTTACGAGTTAAATCATATTCAGGAGGGTGACCAATCATGGTGGATCGATTCGGGAGCAACTCGACATATTTGTAAAGAACGTTGGCTCTTCAAGACTCTAGAAGTCGTAGAAGACGAAAGCGTTCTTTACATGGGAAACAACTCGATGGTCAAGGTCCAAGGAAAGGGGCAAGTAGAGTTGTTACTTACATCTGGAAAGACATTAACCCTTAGGGAAGTTCTTTTTGCTCCGGATGTAAGGAGAAATCTAGTGTCGGGTTGTGTACTTAATCGAGTTGGCTACAAGATGGTCTTTGAGGTTGATAAGTTTATCCTCTCTAAAGGAGGAGTGTTTGTGGGGCAGGGTTATCTATGTAATGATATGTTTAAACTAAGTATCAATAAAGTTTGCACTTCTTCTTTGTATGTTGTTGATTCAAATGTTTCTACATTATGGCATGCTAGATTAGGACATGTTCACTATAAACGGATAAATCTTATGTCAAAGATGGACTTAATTCCACTATGTGCCATGAACGAAGATAAGTGTATAACTTGCATGAAAACGAAAATAACTCGTAATTCATTTGCTAGTGTAGAACGGAGTTCGGAACTTTTAGAGTTAGTTCATAGTGATTTATGTGATTTGCATGGAACTCCGTCTCTAGGTAACAAAAAATACGTAGTGACTTTTATTGAAGACTCCACACGTTATTGCTATGTATTTTTGTTGCATGCTAAAGATGAAGCTCTATATAGGTTTAGGGCATACAAATCCGAAGTTGAGTTACAACTCGGGGTTAAGCTCAAGAAGCTTAGGACTGATAGGGGAGGAGAATACTATGATCCAACATATTTTGAATCTGTAGGAGTGATTCATGAGACCACCGCACCATACACACCGCAACAAAACAGTGTAGCGGAAAGGAAAAATAGGGTCTTGAAAGAAATGGTTAATTCCATGCTTTCATATTCGGGGTTAAGCGAACGATTTTGGGGTGAAGCCATGTTAACGACTTGTTATATTTTAAATCGAGTTCCATCGAAAAGGAACAAGGTTACCCCATATGAACTATGGTACAAGAGAAAACCAAATCTGAATTATTTTCGGATTTGGGGTTGTCGGGCAATTGTAAAAGTCCCAGAACCAAAGAGAAAGACTTTGGGTGATCGAGGAGTAGAATGCATCTTCATATAGGTTATGCTTTACATAGAAAAACTTATAGGTTCTATGTCATAGAACCAAACGACTACATTACCGTTCACATGGTTATTGAGTCGAGAGATGCATTGTTCGACGAAAGTCGATTTTCTTCGGTGGATAAACCACTTATTTCTGTACCTAGTTCGAGTAGTCGAGCAATCGATCAAGATAACGGACAAGGTGAACCTCGTAGAGGTAAACGTATAAGGAAAGAGAAGTCCTTTGGTCCGTTTAGTGGAAGGTACAAACGAGTCGATAGTGACTAAACTTGCTTACCTCTATAATATCGAGGAAGATCCTAGAACGTTTGATGAAGCGATGAAATCACGAGATGTCGCTTTCTGGAAAGAAGCGATAAATGATGAGATGGATTCCATCATGAGTAACAATACATGGGTCTTAGTAGATCCTCCTCTGGGTTGTAAACCTATTGGTTGCAAATGGATCTTCAAAAGAAGATGAGAGTCGATGGAACTATTGATAAGTTCAAGGCCTGTCTAGTAGCTCAAGGTTTTAGACAAAAACAAGGTATCGATTTCTTCGATACATATGCACCAGTAGCTAGAATAGCTACAATTAGATTGTTGATCGCTCTTGCATCGATAAACAATCTTGTAATTCACCAAATGGATGTCAAGACGACATTTCTAAACGGTTATCTTGACACTACAAGAAAAACTGTATATACCGACGGACGTTGCGACGGAAATTCCGTCGCGTTAGATATTTGCGACGGACAACGACGGTAATGGGACGGATTTGCATCCGTCGTAACCCGTCGCGCAATCCGTCGAAAAATTTCGACAACAACCGACGGATATTTCCGTCGGTAATTTTGTCAGACGGATTGCGACGGACTGCGACCGATATTTGCGACCGAACTTTCGTCGGAAAATTATGCGACGGAGTGGGACGGATATATTGCGTCGCACAGAAGTAGCGACGGATGGGGACAGACATTTCCGTCGGGACTGCGACGGATTCGGTGCGTCGCAGGTAGTTAAACACGTTTTATTCGTTTTGACCTAATTCCGTCGCATTCTGTTGTGCGTCCGTCGCAATATTGGAGTCCGTCGCTTTCCGTCGCATTTCCGTCGCACGTTCGAACTCTATTTAACAGCCGCGGCATGTAGTCTCTTTACCAAAGAGAAAAAAAATAGAAAGTGTCAAAAAAAAATGTCGTTTTATTCTCGACAATGGATGTATGAAAGAATTGATTCTATTACGAATCAAATCTCAAAGCAATATGAAGAAGGATTGCAAAATTTTATGTCGTTTGCCACGTCAAATCAGTCGTATTTGGAGAGCGAAAAGC